GTTATCCGGAGAGCGTTGAGGAGGCTGATAGCACTCTTTATGATGGATTTGAGCATTCGTAGTCGTTTGAGATCAACAATAGCGACTGAATTCTCCTAGATAGCCCTTGTTTGATACTCAAAATGTGAATAGACGTTAAGATGTGTATTAAGATTTCATGTATTGTCATTTATTTTGGTGGGCTTGAATTGCAACACTTTTGGAACGGGCAGTATCATACAACGTAAGTTCTCGAATTTGAACGACAAAGGAGTAGATCCTTCTCTCCTCTCCAGCAACTGCCTCATCCTCTCAGGTATACTACGAAAACATTTATCAATTAATTGGGTAGTAACTTGTGTTGCATGTAGATGCGGTGGGAAATGCCAAGAGTAACATAGCCGAAGCCGATCTGCTCGTTCTTTGAGGCCAACTCGCCCACAGCCTCTGAAAGTTCCTGACCGGTGTTAGGACGGCTTCTGCATCCAAATAGCTTCTGACACCCTTGCAATCATATACACGACTCTGATCAGTCATTCGTGCGTTTTCACCTGGCATAGCGGTAGGTATTTGCCAGCTCACGGGCATGAACCACTCGCCTCGCAGGTACATATCTCACTTGCGTCCTGTCGGGCGAACCAAGTCCGTAGGAGAGGAGTAGCAGTCCATATTCGGGGATAGAACAGCGCGTGATCGACGACTCGCTGCACAGTCAGAAGGTGACTGCAAGCAGCGGACGATGCGGTTGGTTGCTTGAAGTTGGGGGCTGAAAGGCTGAAGGTGGCGTCAGCGCTGACGATCTGATTACTACGCGCTCCTCTGCAAATCAAGTTAATCGGGTCTCGGCGGAGGAACCCTCCCAATCTCAATGGAACAAACAGCGTTGCCAGGCCCTATCTCCACTCTCTCGCTTGAGGCTCTGATGTGCTAAATATCGAATGCACGCCATTGCCAATCCACGGGCAGAGAGGCGGCTGGCGTATCACCACAAGTGCATTCCACAAGTCCATCCTAAGTCTCTCAAGCTTCCGTCAATATCTTTCTCAATAGGCTCTTTGTGCAGTGCGGGAGAAGGGTCACCTCGCTCATTTTGCTTACTTTCCCCAGAGAGTGGTAATGGAACAGCCTCTAGCGCCTTGGAAGAAACCTGAAAGCGGGAAGAGAGAACCATGGAAGAAGGAAACCATCATTGGCGGCTACTCGGGTGGATACGTGGACGACGATTCTGACGATGATGAGGTATACCCTGACGACCCTATAAAGAGTCGTCAGGCAGAAATTTCCGAGTCCCACAGAGACATCTTGAGACTCTTCGCAAAAAGGCCTTACAACAGTGCTTCAGGGAGCAAATCCAAACCGCCCGATCTCAAACAAGAAGCAGAAGTGGAGGAATTCAAACGCCGATATGGAGATATTCTTGTCGAGGCCGGTGAAGGGGGCAAAACTATCCTACACCGCATTGTTGAGAGCCCAACGGACGCCCGTCCACTTTTAAGATGGCTATTGACGACGTACGAAAAGCTTATTCTGCAGACAGATAGCAAAGGAAACACAGCCCTGTATTCTGCACTTGTGGTGGACAGAGGTCGGTTTGTTTCCACTGTTCTCAAGTGCAGCAAAAACAGCGCGGAAGCACTGCAGATCCCGGGCGATGATGGAACGTGTCTGCATATTGCACTCAACTTACAACACAGTCTCCCTGACAGCGTTCCAACGCAAGATAGGCGCAGTGCCGATGGACCTCATGGGCAACAAACGACGAAGAGACAACACGTTGATGTCGACCGCATGATCGCGGAATTGCAAGGCTCTCCAAGTGTGCAAAAGGAAGGGGAACCTGCAACGGGTACAGCTTTAAGAGATGTTCTTAAGAAGCTAGATAAGCGAGGCAACAACCTGCTGCATGTTGCGTGGTCCGCCATTGCCGAGCACATCGAAAAGCATGCCCTACATTGCAATAACGATTCAACCGATCCTCCCACCCTCACACCTGCTGTTTCCGTCCTCGAGCATATGGTTCAAGTGGGCACCAAGTTGATGGAAGAATATCCCGAAGCCATCTACCAAGAAAACCACAAAGGCCAACTTCCTTACACCTGTTTAGGCTCTGCAAAGCTGCTAAAATCATGCACCAGTATGGTGGAGGAAATAAAGCTAGCATATATGCGGAAACTAGCTCATGAGGAGGTCAATGAGCTCCTCTATCCAAATGGAACAAACGGTCAGTCAACACTCATTTAACGTTCAGGCAACAATGGAACTACATTAACGAGTGGCTTTCAGAATTAAGCATCTTCTTTGATATTTCAAGATTCACCACTGATCCTGTGCCTGCGACTGAGCTTGATAAATGGTGGGGATATCTACGCTTTGAGACCATTCTTCAGCACGTCGACCTTCCAAACCTTTCGATCGTGGGCGGCGAAAATCTGTTGACTCCATTTTCATCAGCTTCCGAGCCCAGTCCGGATATTCGTGAACTGATAGGCCGGGTGGATATTGTCAAAATCCTTCATTGGTTACGTCGAAAAGGCGTTGGAAAGATTCTGGAACTAACTGTAACAGACGACGAGAGCAAACCACATTACGACGAAGCCATCGAAGTGGCCTTAAAAGGGTTCGGAATAGAGATATTGAACTGGCAAAAGCTAGACCTCTGCAGCGATGTGCTCTACAACGCGGTAACAGATGTGAGAAAACTATACTTATACTCGAGTGGCAACAGTGATGTCCTCAAAGGTTGGTCCTCCGAGAACGGCCTGGAAAGGTTGCCGAAGGTGAATCGCCATCAATAGCCATTACCGTTTCTTGAAACTGACCTGTCTATTTCTACAGTTACAAGACGTCTATCTGAGCGTCTGCAAGGTCCGGCTCAAACAGCAGAATATGCACTCTATTCCACAACTAATCGTACCAGGAATACGCCAGCGAGTCGAGAATAGAAACATATGAACGCGAGTTTAGAAAAACATTGAAAGCCCGCAGGCCTGAGGTTGAAATCCATATGATACCCTGGAAGGCAAAGGGCGGGACAGATTCAAGCTCGCAGAGAAATCAGGGGCCATCCGTAAAGTCAGTCACGGCACGTTGTCTTGAAGTAGTATTGGGACCTGACAATTCTCTCGCAGACATCCCTGGCTGGATTGTATGGACAGCTTTGCCACAGTGATTAGGAGCAATGAGCGTCGCTTCAAGGATTTCGCGCCCGAGGTCAAAGTTGCCATCATTGACGACGGTATCGACCCGAGGCTCCCAAAGTTCCAAAAATGGATTAAAACGGGGAAATCATATCTCAAAAGACCGGACAATCCAAACCGCGTAGTAGACTTCTGGGTTAACCCGGGGAATCATGGCACGGAAATGGCGAAATTGATCTTGCAAGTCTGCCCAACCGCTAAGTTATACATCATCAGACTTGATGAAGGGTTTGGTGCACAAGGAGAGAGAGAGATCCGGTTGGATTCGGCGATTAAAGTAAGCACCTTTCCGTACGCCGCTCACCGTACCTAGTCTGGTCCTGAGCAGTATTTCTTTAGGCAATCGAGTGGGCGACCCAGATCCCTGTCGATATCATATCGATGAGTTGGAGCATCAATAAGAGGAATGTCAGCAGAGACGATCAAACAACATTTGAGAATAAGATCAGGGCTGCATACGAAAGAGGTATAACAATGTTCTGTGCAGCCAGCGATCGGGGCAAGAGGATGGAACCCGGCCTCGAGGAAGACATGCCCGCTGCATTTGGCGATCCCATCAAGATTGGGGCGGCGAAAGCGGACGGGAGCCCGTATTCAGCGCTCGGCTTTCAGGAGGTAGACTTCTACCTCCCAGGCCACGAGCTCAATCTCCATGGGTACCAGCCTTCCAAAGGCCAACCTCAGTCCGGCAGCTCACTAGCAACCGCAATTGCAGCCGGCCTCGCTGCGTTGATCCAGTACTGTATCGGGATTGTTGACAAGAAGGACAATGCCTACAAGGGCCGTCTCGGAACAGAGGAGATTAGGCAGGCGTTTTGGAAACTGTGTAGTGCGCAGCAAAAATTCCCCGAGGTCGAGAAGTTCTTTGGCAATGTTGCCGCCTTGGACAAGCCTGACCAGGTCCTGACCAAATTTAGAAAGATCGCAAAAGGGCTGCGGAAACCGGCCCAGGGTGAAGAAGAACACAAGTGAACATAATCCACGTCTTTCTCTGAGGTTGGAGAGGGGACCTTGCAAAGCTTGGGCACGCTACTGCGCTGGCTGACTCGACGAGAAGACTTGTGCTGCATGCATCTTGCCTGAATCTTAGGGTTATCAACTTTGTCAGAACTCTAGAGTCCGGAACATATGACGCCATTTTGGGCGGTCTATGTCACCCTTTGCACCCTGTGGTCGTGTGATCCGTACATACCTTTCTGTCAAAAACCGCGTTCCCCCCTCTCTGGATCCCAAAAAACGATCCCCCTCCTCTGGTGTCCACCGACCTTCATTGACCGTTCTTTCTATTTCTGCTGTCTGTTAACGATACTGGCAACATCAGGATGGAGTTCCTTCCCCTTATCCCCTGTGTCACGGAATGAGTGTCCTCCCTTGCTGAGAATAGCATTCCCGCGATTTAGCATGATAATCTTGCCGCAGCCTTGGCAAGAAGAACATCAAATCTCGTGCGTGGCTTAAATAGGCAAGAAGCTCCTTTTGGTTGGCAGCCATCGTGATGCATACGTTTCGAGATAAAAGCGGAAGGAGTGGTTAAGAAGAGATACTTAGAAGTAAATAATTGTACGGCATAGACTATTAGTGCGCACCTCACCTGTATACATACTGCACTGCACGAATCTTGAGGGAGGGCATCTAGAATTCCACTTGCCCGAGCCTTCAGGGTAATAGTCCCGGACTATGGGTGAAAGGTAGTGGTATTCTCAAGTTGGTGATGCTGAGCATCAAAGGTGGCAAAATGCTACTTGACTGATACGTAGGATGGGCCGGCGGTGATGTTGGTGGGGCCGGGGCCTGCGCTGTTTCGTTGGTGGTGTAAACGTGAAAGCATTGTTGGATTGGTCTCAAATTCAGATCGCGCGAATCATCTCATATCGCTCTCAGCGTGTGGGAGCTCCAGCTCGTATGTGATTGTCTAGCAATGGGCTCGATTACCCTGCAAAGAAGGTTCCTTGGGACTAGGTGAAAAACGGGTAGGCAATCCCTTTTTCCATCAACCACACATCAACCTTGTTTACTCGCGCGCCACCTCCGATGCACACTCTCTCAAAAGCCCCGTAAGTCTTTAGGCCACCCGAGCTTATGGTCTTCTGCCTAGATAATATCAGCAGCCACAGAAACGACAAAGAGGAGTAAGGGTGCAAACCAGTCACTCGCCCAAGCTCTTGACTATTTCAAGTTCAAAGTCCATGCGCTCGTTGTCTTTTGCAGTCAGCTCTGACCGATCTTTAAATGAGACGGCAATGTCGAAATCGGTCCACAAGAGGCGTTCGGGAGGTCCGGGAACAAGAAGAATATTTTTGGTGTACGTGTCTAGATGCTGAACCAATGCAAGTTCGTGGATCTGTTGAATACCCTCTATCGCAATGTTCATTCGCTCCTCCGAGGAGTTCAAGTAGTTCATCTAGGAGGCACCTGGCAGATACTCGAGGAGAATAGCATTTGGGCAGTGCTTATCGCGAAGAAATGAATGTAGCACGCGTTCAAAATTCTTAGGATCAAAAGATTCAATAAAACCGTAAAGCTTTGGGACTATTCCGCGATCGCACAGCCCGGACTTCTTTAGGTTTACATATGCTCTGGCCTCGCTTCGATAACGATCCAGGTCTCGCCGCCCATCATCTGCCATGCCGCGATCCTCATTTTCGTGAAACTAGAACCTCTGGTAAGCCCAGTGAAAAATAATGTTGAGGTTGAAACAGACCACTATCAAAATACGTTCTTGTCCCTTATATTCGACAAGGAATATATGAGACGACTCTGACCAATGGATGTGTTTGATAAAGTGGGTGTCCGATGAGGAAATTGTCATCAGCAACTTCTTCACTTCAGCGCGATCCGGCATGAAAGGTCTAGACAGCCAAGGTTTCATGCTTGAAGCCTGGCGAGGGACAGGACTTCCACCAGGTTGATAATTTGAGCTCTGGGAATGTTTGGTTGCCGAGCGTGACGTCTGTGCTGTTTGGTTGTCACCTGGATTCATGCGAGGTCCTTGATGCTGTGGTGATACTAATTTAGATCTAAGGTCTCGCTGAGGCGATTTCCCGGCCTCACGAGCTTTGGGAGAGGTTCGACTTTGTTCTTGATAACGATCGTGTTTTTGACATGTCCGCGGAGTCTTTGGTGCCATTGCCACGAGAGAGGGATTCAAGTCGGCAGTTCCAATTATCTACTCCGTACGGAGTACTCCACAGGGGAATGTCACTGTTAGCGTACTGTATTTTCCCCAAAATAAGTGTTTGAGCCGCATTTGATCACCGGAGCTCTCTTGTCTTTCAAATTTCCAACCGCCAGCGACGATACGACCATGACGAGATACTTAAAATCCCTTTATGACATAGAAAGAGTTCGCCTCCGCATTCTTGAAAATCAACAGCCAGCCAAAGTGACGAAGAATGAACCCAGAAATGTTGATCGAAATAACGTCGATCTGGTCTTGATAAATAGTGATTGTTTCTGCGCCAGAATGTTCCAATGAATTACTTATAACGAATTTAACAGAAATGCCTTATTGTAAGATTAGTTACGTTTAGAATCGCCCTAGGGTTTTTTAATTTACTAATCATCTATCTAATGTGTCTACTGTTGGAATTGCGCGTACGCGTATAGCTAAATCCTTGCCTTGATAGCACGTGACTCTTAGCGTTACGTGATGTCTAACTTAGTAGATTAGCCTGCTCCTCCTTCTTACTATGTAGATAGAATCTGCAGAGTAGATAGAATTCAGTCCATCCATCTCATCATCTACATCGTCAAGCTCGAGTAGTTGATTGTTAAGTGGGATAAGCTTAAAACGCGCCTCGTGAGAATTTCAGTTCTTATATTGAAAAAGCTGCAGCCTTGACAGAAGGAACTCCAATTTGGTACTAACTTAACATCAATACTCAAGTAGTAGTATACATTAGCATAGTACAGGCTGGGAGAAAGTCCTGTCTTGGCGAGGTACAAGATACTGGCACTGCATTGAGTAGTAGTGTCTTGGGTGAACCTGCTCGTCAGTCGTCCCTATGCACAAAGAGGAAAAAGCCGTGCAAGTTCAGGAACAATATATCCTACACGGAGTTCCATCACACCAAGCTTACAGTGAGTGACAGGCAGATATTCAGCCTCGAGGGGCGAATCGAGACTATTCCCTCTGATAAAAAGGCTACATAAAGAAATTCCATCTATACCGACTCGAACCCACCCGTTTCTTCATTCGTCTAACAGATTCTGCAACGGTCTCTCCTCCTTTGCCTTGAACTTCGTCGTTCCAACCTTACCAGAGGTTCTGATGCTGATTGCAGGGAAGATGCTGCGCCTGGTCCAGTCGAAGGTCCAGTGCTCGTTCTAGCCAATGGCTCTGCAGCTCTTCCAGTCGAAGGTCCGGTGCTCGTTCTAGTCAATGGCTCCGCAGCTGTTTCAGTCGAAGGTCCGCTGCTCGTTCTAGCCAATGGCTCCGTACCTGATCCAGCCGAGCGCTCTGCTTCTGAAAATAGTCTCTGTAGTGGTCCTGGTGCTGGTGGCCCAGGTGAAGACAATGACATGCCCAACGCGTCCAACGCGTCTGAGTAGACTGTGTGCAAACCCTCTTGAAGATTGGGATTTGTCCTGTGTGCGTGTGGTGGCCAATGTCCGGGGAAGGAACCCGATCTCGACCCAGCCGAAGATGATGGCCCTGATGCTGGTGTACTTCGTCCAGATTCCGCTGATGGGTCAGGAAATCCTCGCCTCGATCTCGGTAGCGATCCAGTCATCGACCCAACTCGTGATGCACGCCCACGGTCTAAGCTTTCCCTCAAGCCGGGTCTTGATATCCCTCCTCCAGCGCCAGGCGCAGAGGTGAATGAACCTTCTGGTCTGGATACCAGTGAGTCCATACTTCGTCTTGAATGTTCGACACTCAATCTCTTCCTCGTTTCTGGTCTCACCCCGGCTCGCATGATACCTCCGGCTCCCGAGGTTTGCGAAGATGCAGCGGATTTCTTCGATCTTGACCTCCCCGGTTCAAGGCCGTGTTGGGCATCGAATTCCCTCAAATTTGCTTTGCTCAACGTTCGTGTTATCGGTTTTCCGGTCTCCGGCACCTGTGAAAGTCCTGCGACTCGCTCATCTGCCATTTGGCGACGCACATTCATCTCTTCGCGTGAGCGTCTCGAAGGCTGTGTTGCTCGGGGAGGTCGTGGCAGCAGCTTCCCTACCTTCGCTTTGGACCATGATTCTCCATCAAAGTGCCACCAGATTCCTTTTCCAAATCCACCAGGAGGACCTTCATGGTACGCTGCTGATACAATTTCCGGCAGGTGAGCCAGTGGTGATGGAGCTGATGTTCCTAACGCCGGCGGAGGCCCCTGCACAGGCCCTGCACTAGAGACTCCCGCCTCCGATCCTGGCGACGGTCTTGCGGAAGGACTGACTGCCCTTATTTCGCCAGCAGGTGCTCTGCCCCGGTCCGCTACCATTTGCTCTTGTGTTCGTCCTGTCGGTCCTGCGCCAGTGTCTCTTGCATGCGACCTTTGGGAGGACTGTGCGTCACGATGCCCAGTAGGAGGATTTTGGGGGGATCTTCCGGTAGAACGACCGGATCTCGCCCCTCGGGATGGTCCAGCTCCTGCTCCAGCTCCAGCTCCAGCTCTGGCATCGGCCGGCCTTGGTCTTTGTGAATGTCCACGGGGTTGATCTGCTGCCCTCTCCTCTGGGGAAGGCCGTGATCGCGATCTGCCTCGAGATGGCGGTACTGGCTCCCCAGACGGCCGTGCTTGCTCCTCCTGTTCACTCCTCTGCCCGCCACGCTCACGCCGAATCCTTGCGGCTATGAGGACTGCCTCGCGTTCTTCCTCCCACGGAGCTAAGTTGCAAGTTTCACAGCGTAAGCGATTTTCACATCCTATGGCACATCTACACTGAGGGTTTCCACACTGTGCAAGGATTTTTAGCCTGCATCCGCCGTGTTTCCCCTTACACTTGTTGGGTACTTGGAAAACGTCTCCCAGCGGAGCGTTGACTTGTTCCTCCGTCAGAGCAATCAAAGGGTCCTCGGACGACAGTTCGCTCGCCATGGTTGCCGATCTGCCGGGTTAAATAAGGAGTGCAACGTGCGAAGAAAACGAGACGAGAAATGATGATGATGCGGCCTGGGGCAAGGTGAAGGAACTGGAAACTGCTTGTCTGGCCCAGACGTCTTTTTGTTCACGGAGGAGTCGATCGATAGCATTTTGGATCAGGGCTTAACACCTAACGTACGTCTGATATATAAGGATCGTCGAAACTTTCCTGACGCCACTGGCGCCCCTTGATCATGGTGTGTACCAGGCTATGTCCCATGCCATGTCCCATGCTGTGTACCATGGTAGTAGAATCTGCGCTGCCGCACCTGCGTTTGGAACAGATCACTGTGGCAGAGTGGGGAAGTCGTGGTCGAGTAAGGCGAGCCTCCTAACAAACCTCTGGCTGACCACCTGAGACTCGAACCCTGTTCAACTTGATGTTCAACTTGAATTGAAGTTGCCCTGGCAGACGCCAAGAAATGAAGGCTTGGCGTTTGACCTGTTCCACAGCCCACAGACTGTATCTTAAACACCAACAGCGTCAGCATCGGCATCAGCGTCAGCATCAAACAGCCCCATGTTTCGGGACAGGCGTGGTCCTCATCAAACCGTTAATATATCAAAACCACCATCCTAGTCTACTCGGATCCGGTCCCGATTCGTTTCGAGAAGGGTAAACATGTCGGTTGCAGGCCAAACACGAACAGAAATCAGAGTTTGGCCAGAGAAAAAGACGGTAGTGCGGCGTGAAATGTGTCCAGCTTGCCGGTCATGCTAAGCGTCTATTCAACTGCAGACGATGCCTCTGCAATCAGCGGTATTCATATGCAGTCTCTGGCCAAGGTGTCTGGTTAACGTCGTGAGGAGCTGCTGAAGACCCTGAGCGGTCAAGGGTGATTTGGGCAGCAATTCAGTCATGGTAGAAACTTGATGATGGATACACCACGCTGCCACCCGTCTACCCCGGAGCACCAGTGGCAGATGCAACATATCTGATACAACAGACTACTAAACAGACGAACCAGCACCTGAAACAATCGTCGACTGCAGCTCGTGTCTCCAGTGTTTCTTGACAACGTGAGCCCTGGTGAAGTCAGCTCTGATGCTGACTTCGCAACCGAGATGCTCTGAGGTAAGAGGCTGGATTCTTATTGAGCACCACTTCCCTCGAGTTGAGACACACCATTCTTGCTCAATTGAGCTGCTTGACCAAGCGCAATTTAACCACTTTCCCCATATTTAAACCTTCTGTCACGATACCCAAGACCAGTCGGCCGTGGTGTTGGCTTCGGCGCGTCCGGATCCACATACCCAGGCATGGTGCCCGGCGCACATGTACGGCATCCACACGCTGCACAAGAAGATTTCCAACAGCCACAAGAACGATCCTCGCAGCGTAGGGGTCGTGAGAGCCTGCATCGTTGAGAGCCACGTCCATAGCGACGATTGAAATCCCCTTTGCATTTCCTGGGATCCTGGGTTGTGGTGGTAGTGGTTGTTGTGCTTTCCCTCGTGGGAGAATTGGCCTTGTCTATGTTTTTGTTTTCTGTGACTTTCTCCACACATACACCACATACAAATACTCGTCCCAGGGTCTGCGATGGAACCCCGTCTGAAATGTCTCCAAAGTCCAGGAGGAATGGGAATGGTGGGTGACCAATCTGGGTTAAGGAGTGATTGCAAGATTTCCAAGTGGCCATCATGTGTTAGGAGGTGATGCAGTATACGTAGTTGTCACGAACAGGGGATCAAGCAGGCAGCTTCTGAAGCACTCTCGGCGGCAAGGACTTTTGTTACTACGTAGGCGCCGGCGTTGGCGTTAGTGTCTGAACGGGCTTGGTGTGAGGCAGTCTTGATTCTGGTTGGGGAGGGATGATACGCTGCACATGATTTTGAGGTGGCTATTTTCTTTTCTGGAGCGGGAAGTAGAGTCGCGGCTCGCTGGCGACATGGATGATTCGCTAGCTCTCCGTACGGTGTCTCCAGGACAGGACTTGTATCATGTAAGTCGACTCTCAGCGACCAGACAGTAGTAAGCTCAAAGCAGCGGGCAGTCTTCGAGCCGCTCTGCACAGTCAACTCTGCAGACGCAATAGACAGAGAATCCAACCAGTAATCACGCTGATCCAACGACCATCAACAACCTTCACCCCATCATCGCCATCGCCATCGCCATCTTCAATTGCACACCTTCTCCCACTCCGCCACCCTCTCAATGAAAATATCCATCCCCCGCTCCCCCGGGAACCCCACAACAACATCTCCCTTACGCAGCACCGCCCATTTCTCGCCTTCCCCCTTCCCCTCCTCTTCATCATCATCATCAATCACCTCCTGACAGACCGTAACCCCTTCCAAAAAATCCTCTTCACTGCCGCCCAACCTCTGAGCAATCATCCCCTCCAGCAGACTGACACCCTCCTTCTTCTCTTTCAGATTCGACCACACCACCACGGCTTTGAAATCGTCCTCTTCTTCCGTGTCTGCCGACCCGGTCGAACTTCGGAGATTGGTAGTGAGCCGCGCGGGACGGATGAGATGGATGGCATCGGCGATGCATTTGCTGTGGCGCCAGTGGACTTTGATGAATTTGATGAGGCCGCTGGCTTCCAGGGAGGTTGGGATGCCGCCGCTTGCGCTTGCGCCGGAGGAAGAGGATGGGGTTGAGTGTGCTGTTTCTGCTTCTTCCTGAGAGGCTGTGATTGTGGTGCTTCGAGGAGCGGTTGAGTCGGGTGAGGTTTTGGCTGATTTGGGCGACGTCGTCGAAGAACTGGAACGGGGAGACGTTGTGGTCGACCATTTGGATGGTTTGTGGTTGGCAACAGCGCAATCGTGCATGACACTCTGCAGCTTCGCGGAGATCATTTTCTTGTCTTCGTCATCCAACTTGCTGCCTGGCCAGTAGCCCTTGAATTTCGGCGCACCCCCAAGTTTGGTTACGCTGACAGCAACGCTGCCCTTATGAAAGGTCAAAGCACGCATACCCTGTACGATCTCTTCTCGGACATCACAGTTCTCGTCTTCGACGAACCCGTGCACGGCAAGCTCGTTCACCATTTCTAGACCTTGGAGTTTGTTGTCCATATTGGGAGCCGGATTCAATGAGTAGATCACGTAAGCGGCGTAGTTTTGTGGAGGGCGCCAATGGGCGGCGAGGGACTTTGGTGCTGACGATGGGATTTTGAGGAAGCGGATTGGGCCGGACGCGTAGGAGAATGCGTAGCCTACTTGCTACAGACGGAATGTTAGTACAAGGCTTTGCGGTCAGAAGAACTATGGAGAGCACAGATATCAGCTTACCGGTAAGCCAGGATACGGGATATCCTTCCACTTTAGAAGAAGTGCAGATGAATGGATAGAAACCTGCGAATTTTCATCTTCGTCTTCCAATATCTCAGTCTCTAGCTCCGAAGATCCGGTTGGTGCTGAAGTTGAAGGTGGAGTCAGCGTATTTTGGGCAATCTGTCTTTGCTGTTTCGTCTCCGCTCGTCCAGCTCGTCTACGCTTGACAGGTCTGCGTGCTGCGCCAGCTGGACTCTTTCGCTGTCGTCGCGGGCGAAGCCGGCTTCCTTCACACTCACTCTCCAACCCCGACTCCGCGTCGTCGTTGTCGTTGTCGTTGTCAGTATCGGATTGACGTTTTGCTGGTCGGACTTCAGGTTCATCTGAGATACTACTGCGACGAACCATATTGCGCATTATCCGGTGATCCCCTTCACAGTCTGATGGTGGGCACAATGGTATCGCACAGCGAAGATACAGCAATTGTTGCAGTGACTCGAATGGCAGTGCAAGAGAGGTAGACACCCAAATTTATGAAGTGCAGAAACGATCAAAGAGGTGAGAGAATTGGTGGCTGAGTGCGGTGTTTAACCAACTTATCAAACAGCAGACACATGCGACTTCAAGCACGGAACAGCCGGCATTCAACAAAGGCACATTGCGGCACTGCACATCTCGTGAAAAATGGGTTTCGGTGACAAACACAATAGTAGTGTAGAAGCCTTTGAATGGCTTAGCTAGTCGCGAGATACAGGACATAGCTGAATAGGCGGTATTCTTGAATGGTGACTCTTCTTCTATTGTCGAAACAACCCACATTTCGCTTTGCTCAAGCCTGCATCAATGTGGCATGGCACCACATGCCTTAGCCCCCTCTCTGACCTTCTGAGCCGGTCTTTTATGATATTAGACCTTCAAGTCTTCATGGTCGATTCTCGAAGAGTAGGGGGAGGGCGGACGTTTAAACCGTTCCCCTGATAAACAACGCTCGAAGTATGGATGGAAGGAAAGCTGATAGTTCCGACTCTGAATTCCTGACGCCTCGCTAATCTCTCAGACCAACTTGTATTCTGATTGCTCTGTTATCTTGCTCCTTTCCCTTTCGCCTCTGTAGGCCCCAATTCTCGAATAAATATGTTGACGCTGCCCTCTGCAATTTCATCCTTGCCATCTTCAAATCCTGGGCTAACTGCGACAGCGAGATAGCGCCCATCAGCGCTGAAAGCTAAAGCCGCAACGCTACTGCCGTACTTTGGATACTGCCTTATTCGCCTCTTTGCTACTCCATCCCACAACGCAACCAATCCGTCACCACCGCCAGAAGCAAAAGTACCATGTATAGGGTGAAACGCCAGAGCATTAACAGGATAGACAACATCAACACCATCGATCGTCTGCCGGTGGCATTTGAACGCGTATTTCCGGGATTGAGACTCGCTTGACGCGTCGAACCATTCGACTGCCACGCGACCTTCGATGCTAGAAGAAGCGTAGCCGGAGTCAGTGGGCATGGTAGCAACAGCCCGAGTCATGAATTTTAACGAGCCCTCGCGGCGTTGATGAGGATCGACATCGATGGTAGTGGGTGAGGATTGAGTGGCAGCCTCGGCAGCGGCTTTGGCAAGGTTCGAAAGTTCGTAGATGTGGAAAGCACGCGATGCCATACCAACCACAAGTTTAGTGGGTGTGCTTGAGACGGTAAAGGCTTTGGATGGGAGCGGTATTACGGCGGGTGGTGAGGAAGGGGAGGTGGCCTGATGAATGTGGAGGGTGGAGTCCCATGAAGCGGAAATGACAAGATTGTGCTCTTTACTGTACACGACAGACTTTACACCCGCGTCATGGGTACTGAGGACAGTCTGCTCAGATGTTGTGGCGTTGGTATGGCGTACATCCCAGTCCAGGCCTGCTGTGTAGAATTCCTCATCGTTTGCGCCGAAGCAGACATCTAGTACGGGGGCTCTGTATTCGAAGGTCTGGAGGAGAGAGCACGTTTTCTGGTCTGGAGAGCCCTGGTCGGGTTCCACCGCATACAGATATACGTTTCGGTCCCAAGACGAGACAAGGAGCTTGGAGGAATTCGGAAGTGGAGAGAACTTGACAGAGGAGATGGCATCAGATGGCGGCGTACCAACAGGAAAATGGTCTAGCAAATGTTAGCCACCGTATGATGAGAGTGACGACTACTTAAGGACGTACTCGAGGTCATGGCTGTTGAATTATTCTTCTTAATAATGATTTGTATTGACTGGCCCAGGTCATCGTCAAAGTATTTTGGAGGGCTTCCCAATTAAGCCTTAACTATACCAAACTCTATGGTCACGTGGATTGATCTGTACACCGCCAAACACAACTATGTTGACATTGAGAAAGTATTCGTACTCGAAAGAAGGCAACATACGGTTTTACATACGGTTTTGGACTGAAATCACGTCGGCTTCTTCTGTGGGCGCGCAAGAGTGCTCTCACTGGCTTAAAAGATATCAACTTGAATTGCCCATGGCTTGATCCTATTTGTCCGGATGGTGGTTAGAAAGAGGCTACTATTCTTGTTCTAAAATAGGTTGGGCTGGATCGAGTCTACTTTCCTGCTCGTTGATATGTCTTCGGACAAGCCAGCTCGTTATTCGAGTACTCGTTGGCACGACCCATCTGCTCAACAGTACTTCTCCTTTGAAGATGTTGTCTTGAAAGGCCTGGCCTCAGACGGCGGTCTGTTCCACCCAGTGACCATTCCAGATGTCAGCAAAGTATATCTGTCATGGAAGGATCTTTCCTTCTCAGACCTGGCCTTGCAAGTCATCCGCCCATTCATGTCGGCTGCCGAAATCTCAGATACAGACCTCAAGTCCATAGTCGACCAGAGCTACTCCGTCTTCCACCACCCTGACACCGTACCTCTTATCACTCTCGACGCATCCAAAGACCTCCATCTACTCGAGCTCTTCCATGGCCCCTCGTTCGCCTTCAAAGACATAGCTCTTCAATTTCTCGGTAACCTGTTCGAGTTCTTCCTCGTTCGCCGAAACAGAGAGCTTTCACCAGGCCAGTCTCGCCACCATCTCACCGTCATTGGCGCTACCAGCGGTGACACAGGCAGCGCCGCAATCTACAGCCTCCGTGGCAAACAGGATGTCAGCATCTTCATTATGTTCCCTGATGGCAAAGTCTCGCCTGTTCAGGAGGCGCAGATGACCACGGTTCTGGATTCGAACGTCCATAATCTCTCCATCAAAGGCACTTTTGACGACTGTCAAGACATGGTCAAAGCCCTTTTCGCCGATGCTGAGATGAATAAATCGCACCATCTCGCAGCCGTCAACTCAATCAATTGGGCCAGAATTTTAGCCCAAATAACCTACTACTTCTCCGCCTACTTCCAACTCCTAAAACACAACCCCAACCTCCCTTCAAATGATTCCGTCCAATTCGTGGTCCCTACGGGTAACTTCGGTGACATCCTAGCCGGCTTCTACGCCAAACGCATGGGCCTCCCCATTGCCAAACTCGTCATCGCCACCAACGAAAACGACATCCTCCACCGTTTCTGGAAGACAGGGACCTACTCCAAGAAGAAAGCTCCACCACAAGAAGCAGAAGGCAGCGGCTTCGCTCAGGACGGGGTAAAAGCGCACGAGGACGGCGTCAAGGAGACACTCTCCCCAGCGATGGACATCCTGGTCTCCTCCAACTTTGAGCGATTACTCTGGGAACTCACCTTCCAGTACGAGAAAGCCCTGGACGAAGCAGCCAGCACAGTGAATTCAGACTCGATGCCTTCCTCTTCTGCAGTGGCAGAAAACGAACCAGCAGTCCAACGCGCCGGACGCAAGATCAACGCCTGGTTCTCCGCACTGAAGAAGACTGGCTCTTTCACCGTGCAAGAACCCGAAATTCTCGCAGCGGCAAGAGCGATCTTCACAACCCACCGGGTCAGCGATGCAGAAACAAGCGCCACCATCCAGGCCTGCTACCGAGGCGAGATCATCGAGCACAAAGGCTACGTGTTGGACCCCCATACCGCGGTCGGTGTTGCTGCCGCTCTGAGACAGATCCAGCAACAACAACCAAGCTCCAACGGAGAAGACGTGACCAAGACGGACGAACAGATTCAGAGTCAGAATCAGGAGAAGGTGAAGATGCACACAATCGCGCTCGCGACGGCGCATCCAGCCAAGTTTGCCAAAGCTGTAGATGTGGCGTTGAAGGGGGAGGAATCTTTCGATTTTGCTCGGGTCCTGCCACAGGAATTTGTCGGTTTGGTCGAGAGGGAGAGGAGGGTCAGGAAGGTTGATCCCCGCACGGGCTTGGAGGGGATTAGGAACATTATCGTGGAGGAGGTGAGGAGGGAGAAAGAAGGGGACGGGTGTTAGGTTGGTGGAAGGGTGGGGAATGGTTGGGTTGATGTTTTGCGAAAAATTTTGGGAGATGTGGATGTATTCTTGTCTTTGCTAAGTTAGATATCATAGACGGCATCATGGTGTTACGCTTTTCACTATAGATCGATCGAAGAAGTTCTCGCACTTGGTTCTACACCGTGCTTTCCCTTGGCGCGAATGCTGTAGCCATCTTTTAAGGCTCCTATGCAACTCACTTTCTTCTTTCGTTTCTTGCTCCTGCAAGCTCTCCCCCTTCCTGTCTGACTTCCTCACGATTCCCGGAGCGAGGAACCAGCAAGAAGAAGAGAGCAAGCGAGCTAGCAAGCGAGCAGGGCAGAGCAGGAAAGATGTGGCATCAACAGAAACGGGAACTCGGTTTCTCATCTTGGTAGAAACAGGAACAAGGTGCGACTCGAGAAGCGAGCAAGAAATGGACATTAAGAACAGACAAAATGGGAAGAAAAGACCGGAGATGCAACCCCCAGGGGAGGGAGATTCGAGAGCGGGTCGCAAAGATCGAGACGAGGCGGGACTGGAGAGGATCAGGATCAGGATCAGGATCAACAAGATATAGGAAGAGGATCTGGGCACTGATGTACAGGGCAGGCGTAACACACAAAGGGGATGAGAAAACCTGGTGAGTCGAGATGGGGGCTGACTGAGGGACAAGCAGAGAAGACAGCCGTCCCAGTTCATGGATGCTCTGATTTGGTGATAGAAGCCGCGTTGGTGGTCTGGGGGGATAGCTGAATAGAATCTGTGTGTATACATCTCCAATACATAGGAAAGGTGTATTTAGTATGATAAAACACCCTGATGCTCACATCATCTCTCCAAGATTACAAAGCTCCAATCGTCCATCGCCAAAGAACTGGGGTAAACAGCTGGACGGGTAGGTAGGGAGGTACGTTGGCCAAAACGAGGTGGTATATCAAACGTCCAACGGAGATCCAACATCCGCTGACTGACGTGTTCAAAACAGCGCCATAATTACAAAAACATTAACCCGTGATATCTTGCGGTGAAACGAGTTTTGCAGAATATCCCTCCAAAATGCCTCTTTCTACTGCACTTTCCGGCTCACCAACGACCTGGACATGACCTGATCTTGACTCTGTTTGGTGATTTGCTGGTGAGTGCTTGGCTCGCCAGCTTCGCTTCCAGAACGGCGCCCGTGCACCTTCTCTGCTGTATCGTCGGCCTCCGCGATTCTGGTGTGGTCAGGCATGGTAGAATGCTGAGAGGTGCGCTCGGTGAATGCGGTTGGGGCAGAGCTGGCCATGGACATGGCGGTGCTCGACCTGTCAACCAGATCTGGGGTCGGTGGGATGCTGGAATGGTTATTGCTGACTGGCGTCAGGTGACCGTCACGCACCCCAGTTCCCTCGGATCGGTTACTGTTCTGGCCATCTTGGCTGCTCTCTTGCCCATCTTCGCTGTTCTTTCCGGCATCTTCCTCCTCCGCCTGCTGGCCTGCTGTCTCGGGGACCTCGAGATCCTCATTGGCAAGTTGAAGACCCTCGACAGCGGCGGCGCACTGCTCACTGATATTGCGGATGATGTCGGCAATGGCATCAGTCTTGTCGCGGAGGTGACGATCGGCGACATCGGACATGCTGAGGGTGGAGAAGCGCTTGTTTGTGCGAGAGGATGGGCCGAGGAATTCCCCTTCGACCTCCGAGGACATTCCATTGACTGAGCTGGTAGACGATGTGTGTGGAGAATCGCCGAGACCAGAGATGGATTTCATTGTAGCAACAAAGCCGCTGTCCTTGTGCTCAGTCTCGTCGTGCTCCTCCTCTTCGCCAACATCTTCATAGCCTTCCTTGATATATTCAGAAAGCTCTGGGGCAGTTCCCAGAGAGCGAACAATATGCTCCATATGGTGGGTCTGGCCGTTGATAAGGCTGCGGAGGTGGAGCACCACACGTTGTGCTTCGTCTCGTTGACGGGAAATGGTTGAATTGGTATGTTGCAGAGCAGCGATCTCCTTCCTGTTACGAGCGCGCTCACGCTCAAGGTCTTCTGCGATACCTTGTTGCAAGACAAGAGCTTCTAGAGCTTGATCTCTCTGGATCTCAGTGCCCTTGAGACGGAGACTGATGCGAGCTTGATCGTCTTTCTGTTGGTCAATCAGACCAGTAAGTCTGCGGTTTTCGCGCTTGTGACTTTCAATCTTGACGCGGAGCTCCGAAACTTCTTTGTTGAGCTGCTCGGCAAAGGCTTGGAACTTGAGAAATTGTGACTTCCAGGTCTCAAGCTCTGTTTCGAGGAAGTTGTTTCTCTTGGTAACCTTGTGGAGCTCGGTGTCCATGCGGCCTTTGAGGTTGATGAAATCTTGCCAGGCTTCCAGGGCGTCGCGTGAATACTGATTACGTTCTCGGACGATCTCATTTAGGTGACGCATCGAGACTTTGGTCATGAGCGGCTTCTTAACTGTACCTCCCAAGATTGCCTTGACACCAGTATTGCGGCCCTATGAGTTAACTTAGCAACTGATATACTGTCTGGAATATTTGACTTACCAATTTCTCGCAGACATGATCCATGACGGTCATTACACTGTCCTGGCTCCACCAAGCAGGATCTTGAATGCTTTCGACCTCACCCTTCTCTACGATGATCCGGCCAGCCGGAATCAACTTGCCACCACCATAAGCTGCACGGAGATGTTGAGGCACGCCAGACGGTGTAATATCGCCATTGAGAGCCTGGGTTAATCGGGTGATCATCTTGGTTCGCTGACCAGGTGAAAGGATATTTGGCGGGCTGGAAGTGAGCACGAAATTGCGGTCGAGGTCCACCACAAGCGCATCGGTAGGAGCTGTAAAGAGGGATCGGCATTCAGCGGTGATGCCGAGAATGTATGGGCCTGGCTCGTTGACGAGTTCTTTGGCATGGCGAGCATGAACGACGGGCACGTACAACCCACTCCACTCATACACGCGCACACAGAATCGGATTGTCTCGGCAGCCACGGTCAGGATTGCTGGATAATGACTGACGAAGACGATTCTGCGAGTAGGTGATACAGCTGCTTCAATTACGCCGACAATGTTGGGAATTGACAGGCAGGTGAACAACGGCCACATTGAGAAGTTTTGGAAGCCTGTTGGTGAGGATGGAAATTGATAGCAAAGAGCGTAGTCCTTCATGTCAATTCGCACCAGATCGTTCAAGCGTGGAGCTGGAAAGCTGAGAATCCGCGACACCTCCTCTGCATGAAACAGGTTTGTGGCCTTATTCCAATGAATCCACATGCCGCGAAGGTAATCACCAAGGAGATTGTACAGTGGATATCTTGACAGGAAACTCAAACAGTACGGAATCCAGTATGTTTCATCAGCAGTATCATAGTAATCAGTTTCTGTCCTCCGTCTAAGTTCCCGAATCGTCTCTGCTCGCTTCTCGTCTGCGCGTGACCAGACACGCAGCGCAATTCCGTAGAGAGTATGCGAGGAATCTTGCTGCAGAACAAAGGAATGGTGGACGCAGTGGGGCTGACTGCGACCAGTGCAGATCTCTACATCATGCGGAAAGCAAGCCTGGGAGAGTAGGTCAGCAGGGCGTGTCGAGAGAGGAGTATAGGGGCTGTGATCTGGCTCACTCGCATAGCAGCATGTAGGGCTCTTGCAATCTCATTGTCCTGCTCAACGCGAGGGCTGCTTCCAAGGATTTCAGGTAGCCAGAACTGTCCAACAGCCCCTTTCATATGGCCAATCTTTCCCTGGGATAATTGAGGCGCTCGAACCCATTGGGACGGTTCACGGCCCACACCACACACCATGTAGGCATGAGTGAGGGTCTTGGGTGTCCGCTGCGCTGGTTTCATATTGAGAGTTGCTGGGATTGGTTGGGTGATTCGAGAATGTAGCGAAGATGTTCGACTGGGAATGACAAGTGAAGAATCGACCTGTTCTCTTGTACCTGGCCGCTCGCGAGTTGCGGGCCTGACAAAGTGGGAATGATCTCTCAGCGAAGGACCCATATCGACGACTGGAGCGTGAACGATGTCCTTATGATGAGGGCGAAAATACGAGAACAGACAGAATCAAATTCCTTTACTACGAGTAACGGAGCTTGTGCAAAGCGGGCCTGCTGGAGGGTTACTTCTGTGACCCTGATATGATCAAAAGCTGAAGAATGTGGTGAAGCTCCCTGGCTGACTTGGAGACCCTCTTCGCCGTCAACCAGAAGGATAACAGTCCGTGATGGAGAAGATGTCGAGAGGGTCAAATTTGAGAACGAATGGCAGAGATTGCTTGAAAGAGAGAGCTTAGATCCACGGCATCAAGAGAGGAACTAAATCATAATCGTCGCTGATACCGAAGACAGCTGCACGGGCCTCAAATGATTGACCCCCAGGAGGCCGGGATTGTACGAAGCTACCCGGGAGCAACTGGCTCCAATAGACGACACCAACTTAGGCTGATAAATCAATTTGGATTGGGTATCCATTGCCTAAGACTGAATTCAGACAGCCGCAATCAAACTTCTTAACTCTATGGCCTCTAGTGGCGAACTCTCCTTCACTGAACCTTGCTAGACTTGAAAAAGCTGGTGACTCCAAAAGATAGGGGCCATTGCCATGCAGATCCCAGCCAGTCAATCTCCAGCAATCCAGGACCTGCGGAGCGGTAGAATTAAGACACAAACTTTCCAATTCATGTTCAGTCTTGAGTCGCCAGAGTTCACCAGTCTCATATGACAGCGATGTACATACACGAAAGCATTCCGCATGCCAGTCCGGAGCGCCATATTTGTCCAAGAAAGTCCGCCCTACTACGTGCAGAATGCGAACGTCATGAATCCCACTGCTGAGTCCGCTACCACACTACTCGGGTACCAATAGCACCTGGCTATTATTGAGCTTCTTTCCGTACCGCGAAGTGCTGCTCTAATAATGTCCTGTTCCAAGTCCAAATTCATGAAAGATCATCATCCTGCGTTTCTCCATCAGGCGATAACTAGGGAGGGCAGGCCGGGCTTCTGGCTTTTCCATCCAACCTGATCCATTCCAGGTGGCGCAACTAGGTAAAGCCCACACGGCTGATACTCTTAGCTCAGGGGGAAATTCTTGCTGTCGTAGTAAGCTGATTGTGGGACGGCAACAAATCAATGACCAACTTGGATTAAATATGTCATCCATGTAGGTTGGTGTCTTGACTTTTGGGATGATTGTAGTCTTCTAAGGCGATCGATTCCAGTATCTTTGAATGTCAAGCACCCATGTTTCATGCAGCTTACCAGAACGGCGGGACGACATGTGGAAGTGGCAGCCATGACTATTTACTACAAGTGCTTTAGTTGATTTTAGTCAGATGCTTTTCGGCGTCTTACCAGATCTCCGATGTACTACGTTGTACGGAGTGCTCTTGCCGCCGGAAAGTGCGGTCTAGTGTGGTGTTAGCATACTAGTAGTGCTAAGAATGACAAGCATCAATACATGGCCATACGTACTACTAGTAGTAGTCCTCTCTTCCAGAAGCTTCTTTTGTAATCATTCATACAAATTATTTAATTGATACCGCTGGGCTTTTATAGCAATAGTTGCTACGCTCAGTACATGTCCCGCCTCACAATCACTAGCTTTAAATAACATTATTTCTGTCTGATACTGTATTCAAGACTTTTGATGCACAACTCGGTAATGATTTACAGCTTCTTTGAGTTTGACTTGTTCAAAGGACTTTATCAGAATGCCGTCCCATTTTGTACGTAGTAAGCTCGTTTCATGAGCTTCAATTGGCTTCAGAGAAGGCCGGGACATCCTCCGATTAACTTTGGCTATGCTCTAGATTGTACTTTTTAGCCACACAAGTACTAATTTCTAGGGTACATACTACTTACGGTAGGAGGCATAAATACTGTTAGCCTAATCTAGTTTTACCTAGTTTTCGTTACAAGAGTCGGCATACTCCGGAGCCATCATAAGTCTCGACCCTCACTAATCCTGCCGATTAGCTCTGTTCTGAGAAATATACAGACTAATATCGTTACATTAAAGTGCATTTATGTTAAGGCTGTGTTAAATACAAAATTTCCAGCTGAAGCTAACCATACTTACTACGTTATGCCTCCTGCCTTAGTAGTAGTTCTTTTTAGCTACGGAGTACATCCCCGGATTTGCTTATGTGCATATGCAGTCCGGTCAACCAGTGCAAACTTCGACCACAGGCCAAGAAAGGTTACTCTAAAACTAAAGCTATGGTTTGGCAAATAAATATTAATCAATTTATCAGCTAAGATCAAACAGTGTTCCAGGTTATGTTACAACAATGCAAGTCTGTCACTCCAACATGCAAGCGCTGGAGGGCATCAATGGCGGATAGGGTGAAAATCCGTCAGGAACGCAAAACCAACCCATCCTTTCTGCTGCCCAGGAATCTTTCAAATTAGCGTTAGACAATCAAGGGGGCCTAGTGTTTAAGGGGATGAAAAGACGGGACTATGCACCAGCCAAACAGATACACATCAATCTAGATAGTCCAAAGCTACCCAGCTTGGTCCGCTGTAACTATGCCAGTGTGTGTCATTATTACCGCTAAGGGCTACCAATGGTACTAATGCTTCCGTTACCTCTGATCCTTATGAAATGCAGACAAGTCAACGATCGAGATGTCAGATCCAGCCTACAAATGTCCCAGCTGGCTCCATCTTAATCCCTTGCACATCTTGTTTGACACCCAACAAGCTGACCCTCCCTTTTGCGATACCTGATCCTGATTCCGTCGTGCTTTTCCACTTGTCAAGCAGATTCTGCAGGTCCACAAGAGCCTTCTCGTTGTCCTCCACCAGAAGAACCACCGCATCATATCCGCCAGCCCCAGGAACAACCCCACCCACGACTCCAGGAACTGTGCAGCACGCGTCCAGCAATTCGGTTTGCGATGGTGGCTCTATGGGTACTCCGGATTTGTTAGACATTTCTCGTATGAGAGATCTTATTGTCGATATGGTGTCTCGCAGATTCTCGCGTTTTATTTCCTCAATCGCCTCCAATTGGGCCAGTCGTTTGAGTTCTGCACAGAGATCTTCAGTTCCCTGCTGCAAGGCACTCCACAGCAAGTCTGCTTCCTCCGGTCTCTCCTTCCGCCACGCAAGCACTTTCTTGACCATGCCCGGTGTCTGAGAACCACAGTCCACGTCACACAACACAAGTCGTAGTGATCTCGGTATCTGCACCGCCTGTTTCAGCACCTCTACATCCCACGGACGATGCGGGTCAAGATTCTCCACGCAGCGGTGTAACCGCTCGCCAAATCCATCAGAGCCAGCATCACCTACATGCTCAAGAAGCGATGGGGTAAACCGTCGATACAGACAGGATCCATACACTGCTGCTGCCACATCAAAGCCAGATCCGACCTTTCCCTGTGCCGCGCAATGAGCGGCTTGTGCCAGATTGTGGATGACATGCTGATGCGAAGAAAACTCAGAGTTAGCAGCGTGGGGCACAAAGGCTCCAAGCAGTGCAGCTGTAATAGACGTAACGAGAGCCGCAGACGACCCGAGGCCAGTCTTATGCGCATTTGCCAGAGTAACACCGAACTTGCTGAACGATCCTTTGGTAGAGGACTTTGTATGTGAATAATAGTCATCATCTGCGAGGATAGTAATATTCAGATCTCCAACCAGGTCGATTGACAAATGAAATAGATACGTCAAGACATAGACAAGCGTTGTTTCCACAAACGGATTTCTAGTATCACTTTCACTCCTAGACGAAGTCAACCTCCTGACGTTCAAAGGCTGCCGACTTCCGAGTCGACTCACTCGTGGGATTGGGTAATCCGTACACCATCCTTCGCCGGAACGTACGAGTAGACCCAGTGTGCCTTTTCAAATTGGGGGGATCGCACAATGATTTTTCGAGAATTGGAATCTGTCTCACTATTTGTTGCGGCTTGAACGCAGATATATATTCGTGCATCGAGGCCGAAGACCAGACCTTGATATGCTCTGTCCAGGACTAGGTAGCCTCCGGCTAGGAGGACTTTGCCTGGCGCTGAAACGGTTATGGTTGCCATGTTGTCGTGGATGGACTTTTAGATTGTGTCGTTCAATTGAACCAGATTTGTTGCGAAGGCTCTATAAATAATGCAGAAGCTGAGAGTGGATGGAACGTCAGGTACAGTCATTGACGGAATATTCGCCTAGAGACTGAAATTAAGAAAATCACAGCTTGGTCCTATTGTCTATACTCTTTGTATGAACTGGACATACTTCCCTCTAGCAATTAGCCATTTCTTTATACAATTCTACACATAGCTTCTTCCTGTGCACTTCATCCTGCCTCTCTTCTTGATATGAGTGAATCCGTGCTGTACATCTAGAACTTTGCGCCACTTTATTCCTTCCCGGTCCCAAAAATCTGCACTTCCTACTTCTGGATCTGGTCCATCTCCTGCTAATCACTACGCCATCACTTCTGCTTCATGAAAAAGGACATCGTATTCCGCAACAATGAGAAATATCTTAGGTGGGAGGCTCTCCCGTTTCGCATATATCGGGCTCAACAGAGGATCGGCGCGGTCTGCCCTGGCGATATGTAGCCCCAATTGAAGAATTTGCCAGTGTTTTCCAAGGTGTCCCGCTTTCCATCCTTTGTGGTCTTGAAGGAGCCTTTGAAGGAGCCGGAGAAATCGACCACAGGGTAGATCGGGATCAGACACTTATTCTGCCTCGCAAGCCTTCCATTTGTGCAATAGCTACGGAGAGATTACCACCAGCGGAAAAGCCACCCATTGCCACTTTTGAGTGGTCAATTGGCAGATCCTAGTCGGTCGGTCGGTCAAAACAGCTTTTGCAACCTCTGCTGCATCTTGTACCAAATAAGGAAATGGACAAGAGGGAGCTTTTCTGTAGCCAATGCTCACAACACAAAAGTTGAACTCGTTGGCAAAGTATGACAAAATGAATCGTCTGGGAGGGACGATAAGCTCATGTTGCTCAATGTGGTGTTCATGGTCTTACCTGTTTGCGGATCACATAGAGCGAAGCCACCTCCATGAATGTCTAGTAGTATGTACAAGGGAAGTTTTCGTGCCAGCTTTCCAAGGCTCTGGGACAAAGATACGATTCTTCAACATTGACCTGCCTTTGTAGCGCTTTGTATATGTAGGCTTCACGGCAGTGACCTCTCCTCGTCTGACCATACAGAACGAGCCCAGCGCAGTCGTGACAATAAATTTAAAAGTCCACAGCCGGGCAGGATAATTAAGTCTAACTTAGTCAAAAGAGATAGGGGTAGGGAGACGATGGATGGCGGAGAAGGGATAGTGGTCATGCTGTCCATGATAGCAGAATAGCTGAAGGCGTTATGAAGCTTGATACCTTCTCTGAAACACTAGAGCAGTATGTTACAGTCTACCGAAAGAAGAGTTCTCACTCCAAGAATTGACATCTAACGTCTTCCACAGCCGTGGGGCGGGAATAACTGTGGAGCCGACCGTAGTTATAGGGGACCAGCAAATCGTAGCCCGTTAACCCATATTGCTCAGCAGCCGATGCCTGCAGCGCAGCCAACGGACTCAGGCATGTTGAGCACGTATATTCGAAGGACCTCTGGGATTTGATGCTTCTTGTTGAGTAGTGAAGGAGACAGAGAGATCTCTGCATAACTCCATTGCTCTTTTGCTTGGGACTAACTGGGGAAAAGAGGACAGATGGACAGATGGACAGCTTGACAGCTTGACGGGGGACTTTCGGACGATTCCCGCGGTCATGGGACGGTGGCTGAGGTTCCGACTTATCTTGATACGCCTTTCCTGATTGGGTAAGCAACCGTTGTAACGGAGTAGCTCACGAAAAATATGTGGAAAAAGATTCCTCGATCATCCGAACGTGCCCCGAACATCACCGCATCTCCTGTCTTTTCAACTCGCCAACGGGTCCTTTGGTACTTTCGCTTGCCTCAGGATAGCATAGCATGGCATAGTCCCAGTCTCTCATTCTTCTTCAGCTTCCGCAATCACTCGGCTTCCACCTGACCGACTTCCCATCCTGGATTAGCTACGAATCCTCCAGCGCTGCTCCACGCATTTTCTCGATTTAGCTGCGCGACATCCACTCCTCGGGTTTCCTATTTTCCACTTCACTCCAGAATCAACATTTCGCATTGGTTTCTCATTCAAATCCCGATCAATCATTACACTCGCCCAACAGCTGCAAGTTATTCAACGTGGTGTTGATAGCATATCACTCCACCAATACGCAACTCATATCCTTCAGTACACCCAACCACTTCACTGATAACTCCTCGTTGGCACGTTCTTTGACGACCATCTTGTCGTCAAATGAACCTGCATTCGTCTCCTTGCCTTGACATACAAGTATGGTGTTGGCTGTTTAAAGATCTTAGGGGTCCCAAGCTGACTCCTGCCTATCAGATTGTCCTCTTCCTTGTGAAGGGGTTTCATCCATTCTAAATGGTTATTAAACCATTCTCCCACCTTGCACGACAGAGCTTTGCCAAAACACTCGCGCACGGCTACGCTCAGTCAGTTGTCGCCGCCTCTCAGTCTTCCTACGCCTCGACCACCGGTTCCCTCGGTCAGTTTCACAACTACCCTGTTCACAAGTTTGCTCGCACTACTCAACTCCAAAACGTATTCCAAACTGCGTCTAGCTCGTCTGGTGCAGGAGCCAAGACCGGGCATGCTAGTCATGGGGCTTCCACAAATGGTGATGGCGGATTAGCTGCATATTATGCCGCCTGGCAGCATGCGCAGCAGACCGGAGACGATAGTGATTGGAGACAACATCAGTTCTCCAAAAAGATCGGATGGAAGTCTGGTGGCAGAAAGAGCGAGATCAAGCGCAGACACCGACATGACTTAAGTTTGACACCTGATTCTCTACGGCCACTTCGAACCTCGGCCGACCGGGCTTTCAGCGAGACGGATCTCCACCATCTCAGAATTAGCCCGGAAGCTGAAGCAGAGGCTCTTGACAGAGTCAATGAGGCAATTGCGCAAGAAATCCATGCTGTCAAGGAGTCAAATCTGACCTCAGCTACTGCCGAGACTTCCCTTCCGATCAATGAGCCGAGTAACAATGTTGGGGCGGAAGCAGCACAAAGACCGATGGAAGCTGTGGACGAAGAACTAGGTACACCATCATCGTCTGATGTACACACGTCAAGCCGGGACACCAGGCTTACCTCGCCAGCTGCTGAGATCCAGTCATCTTCTGACCAGATTGTGGAACTGAGCCGAGTCGGACAGTATTCAAGCATCCCAGCCGTGTTCGAGGACATGCTCAAAGGCGGTGTGGTGCCAACCGTCGAAGCATACAACGCCATCCTTGTGTCCGCAATCCAATTGACCAAGAATGTATACCAGGTTCTACCAAAGGCTCTTGAAGTATATGGAGACATGCTACGTCGAAATGTTGCACCCAACGATGATACCCACATTATACTAATCGATTTCCTTACGGCGCAAGCTCGGGATGCACACGCTGCAAAGGCCGCCTTGGAGCTAAAGCGAACACGATTTGGCAGCGCAGAGGGCGCATTTCTCTTCAGGTCCAGCGAGCTGGAGCACGAACTGCTAGCTGAAGACTCCTCGCTACAATTTGCTCTCCAGCAGTATCAAACAGCAAAATCGCGGCTTTCCGGCATTAAGTTGCCTGCACAGCTATATTTCGCATTGATTCAAGCTTGTGCCCAGCACTGTCGTGTTCGGCAAATGGTTGAGATCTTCTCGGACTTGAAAGCCCAAAAAGTCATTCCTCCGGGGGCCTTGTTCATCCCAATGATCAGGGCATTTGCTGAAGTAAAAGATCTCAAGGCTGCCAACAGAAGCTATGAAGAATACAGGGCACTTGCAGTTGCAAACACCGCAGGTGATATTAACATGATTGACAGACAGGACATGATGGTGTACGCGGCTTTGTTGAAGGCTTTCCTGACCAGTGACAATGCAGCCGGGGGCTTGAGGTTTCTGGATCGAATTCTGCACTCCTACGAAAATGCTGCAGAGACTCAGAGTCTTGTGACAGCCATGGAGAATACCTTCTGCAGCACCTTTGTGGAGAACGCCATTGAGAAGCGCGACTTTGAGGGAGCACTGGCTTTTGTACGGTCTCGAAAGTTGGATGAAATAACCTCGGATCGGCTCTTTAGCAGCATCTGTGCAGCTGCAGCCGACGCCAGCCATATATCTACGGCAGAGGCAGCTTACAAACTTGTCAGCTATCAGAGTGTTGAACACCTCAATGCCACTTCTGCAATACTCGCGGCCAACCTTCGATTGGGCCGAATCGAACAGTCCCGATCATTATGGGGTGTTATGACTGCCAACCCGCAGACTGTGGCCTCCTCCTTGGAATTGACAACCATGTACGCTTGTAGTTTGTTGAAGTTCGGTTACACCGAAGAGGCCTTTCTGCAGGCACGTACAATGTTTGGACGAGTCAGAGAGTCGGCGCCAGATCAAAGCAGTCGCACCAATACCATGGAGTTGATCGACGAGTCCATCGTCATGTTTGGAGAAATTCTAATGAAGATGAACGCAGTCATCTCGGCTCAAGCCAATATGCATCTCGTCAGAATGATGCTTGAGAATGGTGGGCTGGTGTCTCCAGTTGCAGAGCACGCAATGGCCAGTATTGGGCCGGAATGCGTTCATCAATTGAACCCTCAGGACATCGCTCTCGCCCTCCACGTCCAAGCTGGCATGTTGTCACAGGGCTCCAGTGTCTCTGACCCAGCTCATGCTCCTCGATTCGCACATCTCCTCGAGACAGTGCTGAATCGCGGCATTCCCGTAGATCCTTCCACTGTCCACGCCGTGACGGAATGCATTTCCAAATTGAGCAACGCACGACCCGACCTTACTCAGCGATGGGAAGGTTTCCTCCAGCCCGCGCAACCTGTTGAGACCGTTGCTTCACCCTACGTCCCAGCATCGCCAATATCGCCGGCCGTTGACTTTCAAGCACAGCACGATAGCTTCGATCCTTACGCTCACAACACGGATTTTAGGGCGTCTTCCACCATCGCTGAACAACTTGAAAGCAGCACCGGCAGACTCGAGAATCATCTCAGCGATGCCTTGAGCAGATTTCGCAACGTGCGTCGTGCTGGCAGACACCCCAGGTATACCACCTATGCTAAGCTCATCACTGCTGCTGGGAAGACAGGACAGGTACATTTGGTTCATGAAATCTTGGGCATGGCACGCCACGATGTCCCCTTCACCGTACAGTATAGTGCTGTGAAGGCTGGCTGGGTATCGATTCTTGATGCGATGGTTGCAGCTTGTCTTACGATTGGTGACCGGCAACTTGCATCCAAATATCACCAAGATCTACTTGAAATGGGAGCGGCGCCCTCTGCGAACACCTTCGGGCTCTACATCACCACTTTGAAGGAATCGACAAAGACATTCGACGAAGCCACCGAAGCTGTGAAAATCTTCCAACGCGCCATCTCAGAAGGTGTTGAGCCAGGGGTCTTCCTTTACAATGCTGTCATTGGAAAGCTCGGCAAAGCTCGACGCATCGACGATTGTCTCCTCTACTTTGGCGACATGCAGTCACGTAACATCAAACCCACTAGCGTCACATACGGTACTCTGGTTAACGCGCTGTGTCGAACCAGTGAAGAAAGATTTGCTGAGGAAATGTTCGATGAGATGGAGTCGATGCCAAACTACCGACCCAGAGCTGCGCCTTACAACTCGATCATCCAATTCTTTCTCAACACCAAGCGTGATCGCAGCAAGGTCCTTGGGTATTTCGAACGAATGAAGTCGAAGAACATCAAGCCCACAAGCCACACCTTTAAGCTGCTAATTGAGGCTCATGCTTCGCTTGAGCCGGTTGATCTGAAGGCTGCCGAGGCTGTTCTGGCTGATGTCAAAGCTGCAGGGATGGAACCGGAAGCAGTCCACTATGGCTCTCTCATCCATGCCAAAGGCTGTATCATGCACGATATGGCGGGAGCACGAGCTCTGTTCGATTCTGTTGTCTCAAGCGGCACCATCCGTCCGACTGATAATCTCTACCAAAATCTGTTCGAAGCGATGGTCGCCAATCATCAGGTAGCTGACACCACCGAAGTCCTCCGAAGCATGCCGAAACGGAACGTCGCCATGACTCCATACATTGCGAATACTCTCATTCACGGCTGGGCCGCGGAAGGTAACATCATGGAAGCAAAAGCCATCTATGACAGCCTTGGCTATGCCAACCGAGAACCCAGCACGTACGAAGCCATGACTCGGGCATTCCTTTCAGCAGAAGATCATCAAAGTGCCTCTGCTGTTGTGCAAGAAATGATTTCGAAGGGTTATCCTCCAGCTGTGACCGAGAAGGTGCTCGTCCTCGTTGGAGGAGCACCTGCGTAAAGCTTCCCTCATGATCCATAACAACAAGACGGCAGGCCGAGACGTTTACATGTGTCCTTTTCTGCTCGAGCTGGTCTCGCTTTCTTTAGTCATCAAGCAAGGCGATACCCCGAGGCCATGTTTGACGGCCTGTTTACAGCTTCCTCGTGTGAGCTGAATGTTTCTTATTACTTAATGTGCTACATGAATTTTGCTTGGGCAGTGTACGGAGTTCAGGCTTGTACAAAAGGCTTTGCTCGGTTTGGAAGGCAAAATGGGCAAATGGCTAATGGAAGCAGGCAAGCGGCAGGCGGCAGGCGGCAGGCGGCAGGCGTTTCGAGGGATGCGGCTCTGGCATGGAAGAAGCCATTGTATGTATAGACTACACCACTCACCATTTTGCTACAACGATCTAGACTTGATGGGTCCGGATCGATCGAGATATCAATCAACTTCAACTTCAAAGTCGAAATTGAAACACAATATAATCTTCACGGATTTCTCAGGGATTTAGTCTTTCGATCTTCCATTCACCTCCCCCCTCCCCCTCTCCAGCAGAGACCTTCTGATAGCGAAATCGATCATGTAATCTGCTCTCCCTCCCTTGCCAGAACTCCACCATGTCGGGTATCACTCTGAGCCCGCCCCAGAAATCGGGAACGGGGATCTGATCCTGTCCTGCAAACTTCTCCTCTATTTCCCTGACCTGCTCTTCTAGTTGCGCTCTTCCATCGTCCTCTCTTCCCTCCGTTACAACCCCTTCCTCTTCTCCATTCGTGCCGGTCTTATCAATTTCAGCCGGCCTTGGAATCAAAACCTCACTCTGCCGACTCGCCCACGCCCCCAGCCTACTCCCCCTCGCCCTCGTGTCAAAATAGATCTGACTCTCCTCGCTACTCAACCTCTCCCCGACCCCTTCCACCCGCACCTGCCTCTCACCAAAAACACAAGGCCACGTGTCTGTTGGTGGCGAAGTCGCGCGCTTTCTGCGAGGTGCCCCAGTTGGAGTAGATGACGAAGCCCCGCGAGTCGAGCTCTTTGAGGTACACCATGCGGCTGGAGACGCGGCCAGAGGGGAGCTGAGCGGTGGAGAGGGTGCAGGTTTCGGGCACGGGCGAGGGGGACGTGTGCAGGGTGGGGTGGGTGAACCAGGTGTGGAATTGGGTGAAGGGGGACGGGTTGAGGGCGGAGCGGTGCAGGGTCGAGTGTTTGAATTGCGCCGCTTGGGCGGTTTGGTGGGATGGGTCGGTGGCGGTTTTGTTGTTGTCGTGGTGGTATTGGCTGAGGATGAGGCAGCTTCGCCCGGTGCGAAGATCAGCTTTTCTTTTGCCGTGCACATGCTGGGTTGGGTCGTGTTGTGGACGCGAGGGAATTGGGAGAGGGGTTTGCTTCTGCGGGAGCGAGTGAATGGAGATCGCAAATCGTAGAGAGGAGTGCGAGTACGCATGAGCTGTTGACGAGAGTAAGATTCAGGTTGTTGGACCTTGGGACGAAATGCCTAACTCGTTCGTTTAACGTATGCCTGGAGTGGGGATGTCAAAAGATGGGAGTGCTTCATGACGAGTTTTAGGGCTCCCGTGCCTACGTACGTAGTAGTAGTGTTTCTAGGGATGTGGACCCCCTGCAGCCGCCTGGAAGATCCCTAAGAAAGTCGTCCTTCACCAACGATACAGTGATGTGCGAAATTGGTGTCCTAAACATGCGCAAAGAATCCTTGTCAAGATGACAGGGTTGCTCCACTACGAGTCACGCTTACCTCATAATGGAAATACTCAAAACTTAATACTTGACCAATGACCTCCCTGCTATTATAGAGCTGTAAATACTGTATTTCACAAACACAGCCGCTTCCGTTATTTGAATGTGCTCTTAACCTAATAACCTAGGTGGTGAAATGGCCTGCGTAAAGTTTTGCAGACTTAATACTATCACTTTGGCGCAAATCGCACCACCCTCACTGTACTAAATGGTACATCAGTGACAAGTCTGAAACAGCTGAGTACACTGCTCCGTATCATAATCACCTACCTGATATGTAACGTACTGTCTCATTACATATATTATAGCAAGAAGTTC